GAATCAAATTCTTCTCTGACTACTTTGTATTTGAGGTAAAATAAGATTGGAGACACAGGAGCAGCAGCTTTAGCAAAGGCTCTAGAATCAAATTCTTCTCTGACTACTTTGTATTTGAGGTAAAATAAGATTGGAGACACAGGAGCAGCAGCTTTAGCAAAATAAAAATGTTTCAGAGGTAAAGTTTTAAGATAACTTATTAGAGTTTGTAGGTCATAGTTAACTCATTGGGACAGCAATTGGTACATAAAATGGCTAGTTTATCTTAAATTTGAACACTAAATAAAGTTTCTTGCATCAATAAACTTTTTAAAAATAATAATGTGTGTAATATATGTAGTCTTGCACTGTTATGGTAATCATATATTTATGACGCTATTTTAATTGTACAAGTATGATGGATGACATTTGACGTAATTTTGATAAATGCATGTATAATAATGTTTGTCACACATGACGTATAATACAGTAACAATGCATAATCTCATTGACAACTTCTGTGCTGAACCCACACCTAAATGATAACGGAATGGTGATGAAAAGTCAAATCTCACATTACGCGATATAAAGCATGTCCATTAAGAAATAATATCTATGTTTCCAACACAAACCGAGTCTCAAAACTTTCTCGAACAATAACATACTTTCCTTATGTACATGCCTAATATCAATTATATTCTCCCTTGTCTTTTATTATTTAATTACTTATCAACTACAAATAAAGGGTTATTAATGCATTTACAATTCAACCGTCCATCGAGCACATAACCGTACACCAAATGAAGCAATGTTCGGTTTGTATGTGATGCTTCCGATGAAGAAAAAAACGCAATCGAAGTAGTCGATGAGGACAATCAAACGTCAGTTTCAGATGTTGTTGATGATGAAGTTTCCACGACTCCAATGGCAGTCAGTCATAACCGAGATTTCAAATATGCGTATGTATATTGTCTTCATTCTCTATTAAAGTCACCCTTTTTATTTTCTAGCGGAGATGATATCAAGACAAAGCCAGGGCGGAAGACAGGCTACTGAGGTTGCGAAGACGATATTTTATTATGATCAGAGTTATTATGCTGCTGTAATTATAGAGATTGATCAATGAAACGATTCATTCTTGTATTTTTTTATTCACCCTTCGGTATGCTATTGGTAATATTATTAATCAAATATACACATTTTTATGTTGTTTATTTCTTACTTGTGTCCGTCACATTCTTAAGAACAGTCGTCTCGTATTCAAAAGTGATAACGTGATAATGGCAAAGCATGTACATAAACGTCAGTGCATGTTGTTAAATACTGGCAAACACTATATGATAATCTGATACCTGTAATAATCACTTTTTATGGTTGTTCGGCATATTACAATATCTCGATTATATAATAAATAAGGCTATTCTTTCATTTGGTATATGTAATGTTTGTCGCACATAATATTAGTGGGTTAAGGCTTCATCTTCGCTGTTGCTAACTATTGCCAAACGTACTCAGGAACTAGGTCAAAGTTTCAATGGTTGGTATTGGCTGCTGTTCAAACACAGAAAGAGACTAAGGCCATTTGTTGCATTAAGAATTCAAGGTTATACATACATTTCTTAGTCATACAATCAGTTTTCATGTGTTTATTAATCACATATCTCTCTTTTTTATTTACCCGCACTAGCAGATGATATCAAACCTGCTGAAGTATGAGAGTGACAAGAGAATGCAGGATAGAAGTCTATTTTAGTTCCCCACTGTTCAGGACAATTCTACATGTCGTCGCGTAATACTAAATACCCTAGCTGATGTAACGTTTGTTTGTCACACAATTTAAGGATTCAAACGTAAAGTGACTGAGTAGTCAAGGCTGTTATGTTTTTCGTTTCAAATATTCCAGTCTTTCAGTCTTTGTTAATCAAGCGTCCACTTTTCCTTTCAATTCTTAGAGTTAGCATACTAGCAATAAAGAGACCAATGCCCCACACCTAAGTTCAAATCTTACAGTATCTATGGTGGTAACTTTCTCAAATTATATACTGTATCTCTCAGTTATGTATATGTTTAATCGATTATATTCTCTCTCTTCCTCTCTTATTTAGTTTATACTTTACATAAAGCCTACAAACATAACGCATGACGCACATTCAAGTGTCCCGTTCGTACGACTCTATCAATCAGCGGTTTCAAATCCAGCCGTTCCGTTCGAGATGTTTTACCTGACACGTTTTGCTATTGCAAACTCAGTCAGAAATCAGACATATATGCATTGGGTATTATGCGTCTTTGATTGCCAGCGGCGAACCATCCTTTAGGGATAGAGAATCCGATAGAAACTTGATAAGTGATATGATGATAGACTACGACCATTGATGCCTGGACTCGCAAGTAGATAAGAAACTCGCTGAGATCTGCTGCGGTGAAACAGCCAGCTATATGGGAAGCAATTCGATGAAGAAGAAAATGCAAGCGGAGTAATCGATGAGAATGATCAAACATCAGTCTCAGATGCCGATATCACATTCCTATTGAATGTGTCAAGGCGTGACTGAGAAAGAACATTTATCTTAATATGCATTTGAACATTATTGCAATCATACGTTTATTCTATATTGTAAATATTTGATTCCGCATTTGTGACATTTATATTCAACAACTTGAGTGTTTTTTTTGCCATGAAACAAACGTTAAGTAAAGTTTCTTGTATAATATGTCATACATACGTTGCTTCATCGGAATCGCACTGTTACGGTAACCGTATATTTATGAATTGCAAGTATGATGAGATCTTGCCACACATATGGCGTATAATTGACAACTTTCTTCGATAATCAAATAATGATTTTAGATTTTGCATTGACTTTCAAATGCAGAAATGGATGAGGTGATTGCAGCAGATATTATGTGTGCCGTGGTATATTAAAGAGAATTACTTACTAAATTACATGTTTTCATGTTATCAGAATGTGATTAACACGTTATTTTGATTCTCATGCAACTGCAGTCGAATGTGATCGATCTTTACAATTGGTGTTTCGAGATTGTCTACCATGCGAACACAGAATGAATACTCATGATGGTTAATTTGTATTTCTGACAACTAAAAAACATTCGGAGCACGCGTGAAATGTTGGCTCATTCACATGGCTTTGTTTTTCAACGCGAAATTTCAGCTATTGCGTTCGTAAACAACAATTTGTATTAAAACGCCGCGCGCCAGCAACGTCTCGTTTATTGTACTTATCTTCCACATTATCTCGATAGTTTCAAGTACAGACATGCTTATCGTAAGAAGAATGCAGATGGAGACCAAATAAGAAGTTTCAATTTCCGGTAAGACCTCACTTGGAGTAAGCGCTCAGAAACTGCTTTTTTATTGTTACTGATTGCTTTGGATTTATAGCTTCATATCAGTTTATTTATGAAACTTTGACATCCCATCCATGTGAGTATTCGCACATCCAATTTTTTGTTTTCTACTTTACTTACTAAATCGTCTATTACGTGGTATTAGTATATGCATTTTTCCTGACTCTAATACTAAATTGTTTATTTCATCCGTTTCCGACCGACTAATTATTCATTACTAAATTGTTCGCCTTTTGATTTGCCAAAAACTGTACAATAATATTAAGATAGGGAAAAAAAACATAGCATAAATTATATAGTTATAGTAAAAAGTGAATAAAAAACAAGGCAAACTAGTGGATAGCACAAGAGAGGGGGAGCTGTATTGATAATAAGAGAAATTTAGCCAGTAAATTTGCTTGATATAATGATACCATTATTAATTCATGATATAATTAATAATGTTTTAAAGGGCAAAAATTTATGTCATGAAATTTTCTGTGTATTATCAAGAGTGCATATCGAGAAGTGGATTTTGAAGGTGACTGTGGGGGGGGTCTCGTCATTGAAACTGTCAAGTTAAACAAAATGTCTAGTTCAAAAGAAACATTTTGCCTTCGCCGATTGTTAGTAAACTCGAAATAACAAACAGTCGCTCATTAGTTAATTTCGTTGTCGCGTTCAGTAGCCTTGCATCTTCTTCCCTGACTACAACGTTATCGTTTGTTCTACTCTTTGCTGTTTGTTAGTAACAGCGTTGTATTCGTTATATATAGCTTGAAAAAATCGAGCATTAGATAGTTTTTTTGGGAGTCGCTAATATTACAGTGATTGTCATTTGGGTGTTGATATTGGTCAGGTATGTCTGGTTCAGAATTTCTACTTCGAAGGAGTGTTGTGTTTACGAGGGTAATATAAAGTGTGTCATTTTCATACACCAGTCTGCCTATGAATTGAACAAGTCTTCGATGTTAAATTCTTGTCTATAGGCAGTGCACTAGTGAAATACTTGTACGTAATATTTTGAAAAAAATTCGGCTCGTGCTGATAAGCCGCCACGCCTTGGACCATCTTGTTAACAACATCTTTAGTTTAATTATGACAAGCGTTGCTGCGTTTGGTTCTTATTATTATTATTATTATTATTATTATTATTATTATTATTATTATTATTATTATTATTATTATTATTATTATT